TACTCATCTTTACTCTTTTCACTCACAAACATAATATCTCTATATATTAGAAATGTCTTTATATAGTCTCTGTTACAGCTCTTATGTGTCTATATGTATCACACATTCCTTCTACAACATAAACCTTTGGTATCTAGTTATTTTATGTATGCAAGAAAATTATTTATCATTATACATTTTCTATTTATATACATTACTGATCTATAATAAATAGAATTTTGAGATAGCCTTCATGATGATGTCATGTTACATGCCATTAGAATTTGAATATGAAATTGAGGGTACTAGTCAGTTGACCCGAAGGTAGAAACCTCTGGGTGGGCCTAACTTAGTCACATGTGCTCCTCAAAAGCAGAGACTTTTCTGGCTGGTGGTAAAAGAGGAAGTCAGAGAGATTTAAGTGTGATAGAGATTTGGCGCAAGTAAGATTCTCTGCTGCAGAGATGGAGGGGTCCACAGGGTGGACAGTAGTTCCTAATAACTAGCAAGAAAACTGGACTTCAGTCTTCTAACTACAGGGACCTGACTGACTAACACTTTCCCTGTGTTTAACGTGTGCAGTAGCTATTGGTGCCAGAGGCTTTGAATTCCTCTAGTGTCTGTATTTGTCTCTTTTCTTGACTTTGTGCTTCCCAAATGCTCCTTCTCAGAGATAGTCTGTGGCTTGCTGCTCTTTCAGCTGAAATCCACATGCATTGTGCTGGAGCCTTGTTGATATCATGGTAAGCTATAGAGAGGGGAAATGTTCTAGGATTAAAGCTTAATCTCTTAGTATGCCTGTGTCCTTGGGCTGTAGCCTTCATGAATCTTTCTTAGTTTTTTTATTTCCTCCCTTAGAGATGAGATAGGAAGTGGCTAAGAGAGCTAAAGTCAGGGAAAGGCCTTTCCCAAGGTGGGACAAGGCTCTGGTAAAGTCTTTCCCCTCAAGGAGTAGCTCTTTTAGTATGAAGGAGGCTCTGAGCATGTGTCAAATGATTAATCTTACTTTCCTTCTGGCAGATCAGGAAGGGTCTTTCTTGGACCTTCATCATGAAAATTTGGTAGGATTCTTAAAGATAAAGCCCACAACAATGTGTGAGTCCTTGCTATGACTTCAGCTACCAAGAGTCTTTCATTCTCATATTATTCCACACTAAGACTTCAGCACTTTTTCCAAGTTACCATTTAAGTTTATGGCTTCCAAATCAGTATGGAGATACTTCAAAGAACTAGGACTGCAGGTCCCATTTGACCCAGCTATTCCCCTACTGGGTATCTTCCCAAAAGAATTAAAAGAATCATACCACAGCGATATATGTGCACCTATGTTTATAGTGGCACAGTTTGTAATAGCTAAAGCTTGGAAACAGCCCAAGTGCCCATCAATTGGAAACTGAATAAAGAAGATGTGGTTTTTTTATAAAATGGAGTATTACTCAGCCATAAAGAATGAAAAACTAGAGTCATTTATAGCTAAATGGATGCATACTGAGGCCATACTCTTTAGTGAAATAAACAGGACACACATGTGTAAATACCAAATAGTTTCTCTAGTGAGAAATTGAAAGTGTAAATAAGGATGAAAATGATTAAAATGAATAATTGATAATTTGAAAAGGAAAAGGTCCAAAGGTGTAGGGGTGGCAGGAGGGGAAGGGGAAAGGGAAGAAGGGAAAAGAAAAATTATGAGAAAGAAAACAAATGGAAACAAAGTCTATGTAAATAGGGAAGGGTGGAGGGGGTGAAGGGCACACAGATAATGGGGAAAAAATAAGAACTAAGATGCAGCATGTTCAGGTACAAACACCCAGTGATAAATGTAAATGTATTGTATACCTAAAATGTACCAATAAAGATATAAAACAAAAAGTTTATGACTTCCAGCATGTCTTCTGCTTCAGATCTTGGCTGTGATTCCCTGGACTTGTTTGTCTTTCCAGATGGCAAAGGATAGCAATTTGCCCTAAAAGCCCAGTTCTCTTTTGAGTCGGAGAAAAGTCATCAATTTTTAATATGCCCAGCTTTTCCTTTTTGTAAGGACAAGAATGATGGCTTCCAAATATGTGACAACTTTCACTGAAAGTTGTTAATTTCATTTTTAAATTTCTGTGTTCTGGCATTTGTCTATTTTCTTTCTGGCCTCCAAGTCCTACTTTATAGAAGTATGTTTCTTGAATATTTTCTGTAAACATCACATAGATATTTTATGAAATTATCTTTTCTTTTTCCATAGTTTTATAACAGATCTGTTTTCCTTTGAATCTGTAGAGTAAAAACAGTCGTTTTTTTCTTGTGCTGCAGAATTTTTTCAATCCTTAGAGCTTGCATTGTTTCATTCTGAATATTTATCCTAGTAAGAAGTCTCTAAACAAGAAAATTGTAAATAGATACTATTCATACACTCTCATTAGCTATTTCTTTGATCTTGACCTTGAGCATTCTAACTTGAACCTTCTAGAGCTAGGTTTTTAATAGAGCACAAGTACTAGCCCAACGCATGCTACCCATCTGGCATTCATTCAACATGATGCCAATAAACTAGTGTCAAATCACCTGGTTCTTCTGTTGTTAAGTTATTGGAAAGTCTAACATAGTGTATAGTTTTTATAGGTGTTGTTATGGTTTAGATCTAGAATGTCTCTCCAAAAGCCTCACATGTTCAGAAGTGGAGCTTTTGGAAGATGATTGGATCATGAAGGTATCACATTCATCAGTGGATTAATGCACAGTTAAGAAGTGGGGCCTGATTGGAAGAAGTGAGTCACTGGGGGTGTGACCTGGAAGGTTATATCTCCCTTCCCAGCTCCTCCCTTTTCTCTCTGCTTCCTGTGCACCATGATGTGAGCAGCTTTCTTCCACCAGATTTTCCCACCATGCTGTTTCTTCTGGGAGCCAGCTGACCATGGACTAAAAAGATGAACCAAAATAAACCTCTCTTTCTTTAACTTGTCAAGGTTGGGCATTTTGTTCCAGTGAGGAAAGTGGCTAAGGGTGGTGCCTTATATCAAAGACTAAATCCAGTATCACTGCACTACTCAAAGCATGGTACCAGAGCTGGTGCTGTAGTCTGAATTGTTTGGTTCTGTCCACCATGAGACAAGTGGAAAAAATAGAGAATGTAACCTTAGAAATCATTATAGCAATTTGATGGAATAATTTGCCTTTCGTGGGATCTAATAATAACATCTCGGGCTTTTATTTTCTGTGTCACATCAATTGAACAATTTGTTTCTTAGATGTATTCATTTGAAGAATTTGTCCCTGGATATTTATACTAAAACATACTAAAACCAAAAGTCAAAGTATCGTATTAGTTAACAGGAAATTGTTCTGCTATATGCAGTATAAAGGAAATGAAAGTATTATTTTCAAATCAGTTGTGCTACATTAATTTAGCCAAATATGAGTTCAACGTATCATAGAAAACTCCTCTTCTTATCTTATATTTTGCTTTTCATTGATTTTAATAGGACTCAGTATTTTGGGTATGTAAGCCAAGAGGTGACACAAACCAAAGTTGGGATCATTATAGTTGACCTGAGCATGTTGGAAACCAAGGCAAGGCTGAATGTCATTCAAAGCTCATGAACCGAGAGAATGGTAAGGAAGGCCAGGCTGAATTATAGAACTCACAATAGGCAGCAAAGTTTGGGAAACATAGTTGTCGATAATTTTTAAGTAACAAACAACTGGTTGATGGGTAGCATTTCTAGTAACAGAAACCCATATTTCCCCCTCCAAAGCATGGCTGTGATGATACTTGATTTTGTAGCTAAAATATGACTCATCAATTTCCAAATACTAAGCTTTATAATCAAGCTGTATGGGATATGGTTCAAAGTCATGCTTGTGTACTTTGTGACAGATATAGTTCGTTTAAGAGCCAGTGACCGCCTGCTGCGCAAGCGCAAGGACCCGAGTATGATCCCTGGTACCAAAATCCTATTGA